AAATGAGGACGTTTGCTAGCGAGCTTCTTCAGAGTGGAATGCAGCCATCTGTTAAAAGTGTTTGTAAACGGTTATTTCTCCTTGCAGCAGCGTTAGAATCCTCCACCATTCGCTCGGTGACCTTTGGTGTGTGTGACATGTAGGAGCGTGCTCTGGGAACAGTTGACTAAGGGTTTCAGTCTTCTCAGGCCCATAATGCATGCTATTGTACTTGGAGCAGGGGAGCACTGGGATGTCGCCGCAGAGCTCAGCTGTCCTAGCTGATGCTTTCAGTGTGACGCTACATTAGAGCAGGCCTGCTGTGGTTCCTACAACTACCCTTTACATGAATACACATCCAGTGACATGTGACAGAGCTCCCACATATCCACACTGACGTTTTCACCTCTACTCAGCTCCAGCCGCTGTTACACAGCTGTTCAGTTCAAAAGCATCAATAGATCCTAGAGGGAAGTGAAAAGGTTGATTACCAATCATTGTAAATGCCCCTAAACTAGACACAACCAGGATCCACAAACACTAGCAGGTGGTGTTAAAAGAGCCAAACAGCAGACGTCCTAATTAATGCTGAACTCCGTCATCATGGACCAAACTGAATCTAACGTAGAGATTGTGCTGTTATCAGTGGCTGTTGTCTCTGAAACCACCTCCAGCCTTCTAGTCTGGTCTGAAGCCAGAAGCTCACTGGGCTGTGAAAGTTGGTGATAAATCGTAAACAGGAGGGAGTTTGTTCACGTCCAGAACCGTCAGTGAGTGTTCCAGAACTTTTCTACCGGTGTAGTCAGAATTGTTGTGGATGTCTCGCGCTTTTGTCTAGTTTCCTCTCCGATGTTCCTCAGACATTCCCAGTCAGATGGAAAATCTCATGAGACCTCTTGAGCGGTCGCTCCAGAGGTAGAGTGGGTTGTCCGGTCATCGGAGGGTTGCAGGACCGATCCACGGAATTCTGCTGTTGTGTCCTTGGGCAAGACGCTTCGCTGTCACCTTTCTGATTGGCTATGTCACATTCAACAGGCAACACTCTTTACTGTCCTCAATATTGGGCCAAGACAATCCAACATGTGAAACTTGTGGTCCGAGCGGGCCCGAGTAGAAATCTGCAGAACTGTGTTGCCGTGTGACCCGGGCCGTGGGCAACCGTCAGCAGGAGTGATTAGGGACAGAGAAAGACCTTCGAGATGGAATCATTAGGGCATTTTGGGACTGACTTAAGGTTTGTAGGACACTGACGGGACCTGTGCGTAAATGTGGCTATCTAAATATACCAACAGTGGGATTCCAGCGGAACATTTTATTGTTACTCTGGCTCTGATGGATGCTGGTTCAATCTCATAAATAAATAGTTAAGTTTTATTTTATTTTTCCGTTGTGACTAACTACCAACCCTGGAGAGTTAAAGCCGTTTTACTGAAACGTAAACTGTGTTCATCTGAAGTATCATCCTGGCTCCACTTTGTGCAGCAGAGCAGAAAACATGTTTTATTAATCACACTCAAGTGAAGTCTCAGCTTTCCGTACATCGCCTCCTTACAACCACGTTTAGCTGTGTCAGTGAAAAAAACAAGCGTTGAGACAGAAAAACAAAATGGTGGCTAGCAGACATGCAGTCTATTGTACTGTATTATACTGTAGTGTACTGTGGTGTACTGTATTATACTGTAGTATACTGTATTATACTGTATTGTACTGTAGTGTACTGTATTATACTGTAGTGTAGTGTATTATACTGTAGTGTACTGTAGTGTACTGTATTATACTGTAGTGTACTGTATTATACTGTGGTGTACTGTAGTGTACTGTATTACACTGTAGTGTACTGTATTATACTGTAGTGTAGTGTATTATACTGTAGTGTACTGTAGTGTACTGTATTATACTGTAGTGTACTGTATTATACTGTAGTGTAGTGTAGTGTACTGTATTGTACTGTAGTGTACTGTATTACACTGTAGTGTACTGTATTATACTGTAGTGTAGTGTATTATACTGTAGTGTTCTGTAGTGTACTGTATTATACTGTAGTGTAGTGTATTATACTGTAGTGTACTGTAGTGTACTGTATTATACTGTAGTGTAGTGTATTATACTGTAGTGTACTGTAGTGTACTGTATTATACTGTAGTGTAGTGTATTATACTGTAGTGTAGTGTATTATACTGTATTATACTGTAGTGTACTGTATTATACTGTAGTGTAGTGTATTATACTGTAGTGTACTGTAGTGTACTGTATTATACTGTAGTGTAGTGTATTATACTGTAGTGTACTGTAGTGTACTGTATTATACTGTAGTGTAGTGTATTATACTGTAGTGTACTGTAGTGTACTGTATTATACTGTAGTGTAGTGTATTATACTGTAGTGTAGTGTATTATACTGTATTATACTGTAGTGTACTGTATTATACTGTAGTGTAGTGTATTATACTGTAGTGTACTGTAGTGTACTGTATTATACTGTAGTGTAGTGTATTATACTGTAGTGTACTGTATTATACTGTAGTGTAGTGTATTATACTGTAGTGTTCTGTAGTGTACTGTATTATACTGTAGTGTAGTGTATTATACTGTAGTGTACTGTAGTGTACTGTATTATACTGTAGTGTAGTGTATTATACTGTAGTGTACTGTAGTGTACTGTATTATACTGTAGTGTACTGTATTATACTGTAGTGTAGTGTATTATACTGTAGTGTACTGTAGTGTACTGTATTATACTGTAGTGTAGTGTATTATACTGTAGTGTACTGTATTATACTGTAGTGTAGTGTATTATACTGTAGTGTAGTGTATTATACTGTAGTGTACTGTAGTGTACTGTATTATACTGTAGTGTACTGTATTATACTGTAGTGTAGTGTAGTGTACTGTATTGTACTGTAGTGTACTGTATTATACTGTAGTGTAGTGTATTATACTGTAGTGTACTGTATTATACTGTAGTGTAGTGTATTATACTGTAGTGTAGTGTATTATACTGTAGTGTACTGTAGTGTACTGTATTATACTGTAGTGTACTGTATTATACTGTAGTGTACTGTATTATACTGTAGTGTAGTGTATTATACTGTAGTGTACTGTATTATACTGTAGTGTACTGTATTATACTGTAGTGTAGTGTATTATACTGTAGTGTACTGTAGTGTACTGTATTATACTGTAGTGTACTGTATTATACTGTAGTGTAGTGTATTATACTGTAGTGTACTGTAGTGTACTGTAAGTATTTCTGAACTGAGTTAGAAAACAAAAGTTACCATGTTACAAAATGAGAAATACGCGTTACAAAACAAGTTATGTGTTACAAAATGTGAACTACGTGCTACAAAATGAAAGTTACAATTTTCCAAACATATTACAAGTTACTTGTAATATTGTCTCAGTCCTAGCTCCACACTAAACACGATTGGCTGGTTCGCTGCAGTTCAGATAGTATAAATGTGTAAATACACTCAACAACTTTACATCTTTCAGTCCATCTCATGCAAAATGGGAGCAGAAACAAAGGTGCTGCATTTATACTTGTGTTGAGTGTAATTCTGATTAAATGTAGGTTTACAATGATGTAAATATATGTATAAATGTTTTTATGGAGCACCCTCTGGACTAGCTGCCACTGAGCTGTTTGTGTTGTTTTAACAACCAAGAGCGTCATACTTTTCTTTTCTTCCATTGTCTCTTTCCTTTGTTCTTTCCGCTCGGTTCGGGTGAGGAGGTCAGACCTCTCACTGCCTCACATGGGAAATGTCAGAGGGAGTGTAACGTGTGATGACGAGGGCAGGGCACTCGGAGCCACAGGACGTGTAGGTGTGTGTCAGGTCAGGGCGGCAGACTCACGGAGGCTGGCTGCCAGAGATTAGCAGAGCAGATTCTGATTTTTGTGCAAATAACAAAACACAGTTGTAGATGAAACATGTAACAGCTCCAGGCTCGGCCTCTTACACAACCCCAGGCCTTGCAGTGATTCTAGTGAGCATTGAGACGAGTGATCCCACACGTAATCAGATGCAATCTGAAAACAAACGTGTGTTTCCTGAGCGGATAACAGAGAAGCCTTCTGGTTAAAGGTCGTTCAGGTCACTGGTTTGATTCCTGCAGTCTCTGAAGGCGTTTTCCTCATCTCATTATTCCATGTCATCCGTTCCAGTAGATGGAAAACGGTGATGTTGTAGGCCAGCGTGTGCAGTCAGACCTAACTCAAGCTGACTGGGTTACAGCTGGTTCTAGTGAGGGTTAGGGTTTAGTTAGGTCATCCTTCCTGAGACGTTTCTGCAGCAGTCAGAGTCCACGTGCTGTAACTTCTGTAGATCAGACATGATGGGGAAGGCACACACCTGCAGGACAGGTGTGCCAAGCTTGTGGCAGCATGTTCCAGAAGACTTGGTGCTATAAGTGATTCTGGGATTCTCCAGAACTCACAGATGGCCAGTCCACCTATGGAGGGGTGACATCGGTCACCTCGCTTTCTGATTGGCTACTCAAGACAGGCAGCATGCACCTACACTTTGTGACATTGGGGCAGTTCCAACATATCAAGCTTCCCCAGTTTGTAACTGGAGTGGTTCTGTGTGCTTGTGAGCAGATCGGAGAACTCTTACCAACCAGGATTATCTTTAGGCCGCCGGTGTGTCCTTGAGAGTGTCGGAAGACGAGAACTGCGTTTCTTGACCGTTTTTAATCATCTTTCATCGTTGTCCTGTCCTGCTGGCCTCTGATGATGGAGAACAGGAAGACAGCTACAGGAGTAACAGGGTTACACGTTCTCCACAGCTAATCCTCTAAAATCCTGCCCTGACTGATGCTGCCTTTCCTCACTCGCCCACTCGCCTCCCGGTTAATCCACATCTGACAAATCGTGTGTCTACAGGTTAGCCTGCTGCTCAGGGAACAACACCTTCCAGCTGGATTCCTCCTCCAGAAGACGTCCACACACTCCTGCAAATGCAGAGTCACACATGAAGTAGACAGTTGGAGCTAAAAGGTGATTGTTGTCTCTTCCAGCCCGTCCCTGATTCCCGTTAGGATCTACTCTTCCCTGTCGGAGACCCTCTCCATCCTCCACATCCAGCAGCCATGGCAGATGATGCGGACATGCGCAATGAGCTGTCAGACATGCAGCAACGCGCCGACCAGCTGGCCGACGAGGTGAGAGAAGCACTGTGTGTGTGTGTGTGTGTGTGTGTGTGTGTGTGTGTGTGTGTGTGTGTGTGTGTGTGTGTGTGTGTGAGCGTGTGTGTGTGTGTGTGTGTGTGTGTGTGTGTGTGTGTGTGTGAGCGTGTGTGTGTGTGTGTGTGTGTGTGTGTGTGTGTGTGTGTGTGTGTGTGTGCGTGTGTGTGCGTGTGTGTGTGTGTGTGTGAGCGTGTGTGTGTGTGTGTGTGTGTGTGTGTGTGTGTGTGTGTGTGTGTGTGTGAGCGTGTGTGTGTGTGTGTGTGTGTGTGTGTGTGTGAGCGTGTGTGTGTGTGTGTGTGTGTGTGTGTGTGTGTGTGTGTGTGTGTGTGTGTGTGTGTGTGTGAGCGTGTGTGTGTGTGTGTGTGTGTGTATGTGTGTGTGTGTGTGTGTGTGTATTAGTGGCTCCGCCCTCTTGCTCTGTCAGGGAACAGCATTTGTTGCATTTTTTAAACAGGAAGTGGGAGTGGGGTAAGACTCTGGTAGGGGGTGACTTGCTCTTTAGGAAGATGAGCATCACGGTCCCTGCTGCTGTTCCCTGGAGGTCTGGTTCTCCTAGAGGAGACAAGTGGAATAACAGCAAGAAAGCCGTTTCCTCCTTACCCCATAACAGTTCAGGGAGAGAGACCAAATTAGTGTTGATCATCTTAAACAGCAGATGTGATCCTTCTGGAGTTTTAGTCTGAGTCCATGTTTGCTGCTCATCGTGTGCTGTTGTTTTACCCTGTGATGAAAGCTTGTTGTTTCAGACTCCAACCCTGTTGTTTTCTATCCCAACAGTCACTGGAGAGCACTCGCCGCATGCTCCAGCTGGTGGAGGAGGTAAGACTAAACTGTCACTCATTACTCTTTGTTTATGGGAATGCTAAGTGGACAGGTTATGACAGAAGAAGCAGGTAGAAAGGAGAATCAGACAATTCTTAGGAAGTGTGCTGAGTTTGACCAGAAAACAAATAATTAGTCGAGTTTTAACCATTTGATTTGACCTTGGGTATGATCCAAAAGGGGGCATATTATCCTCTCTACCGCTTGTATAATTAAAACCACCCATCTGTGTTCGGTCAGACTGAGGTGTTCCATGCTCCTATGAGCCGTTTGAAAATGTGCCTTATTGTGATGTCACAACAAGGCTCCCCTCACCTGTCTGTGCTTAGGGAGGATGTGGAAGAGCAGCAGCTCTACTCCAACCTCCTCCCTGGATATCTGAGTTCATTACCTCATAGCAGCCAATCAGGGGAGAGGTGGGTGTGGCCAGCAACAGCTCATTTCCCTTAAAGTGACAAGCCCTTAAACAGTTCATTCTGAAAATGCCAAGAGTAGTGGGACAGACGAGTCCGTGAGAAGCAGCAAGTCCAACCCCCGCTCTGGGGCCAACACTTGGTCCCAGTCCACCCCTGCATCATCCCAGAGAGGCATCAGTGATGTCCTTTATGGTCCGACAGGCAGGCGTTCGTGCATTCGGAGCATCGTTTTTTCCCGTTTTTAGTTTCAGTCAACGAAAACTTCCTCAGGTCTCGTCAACTTTCAGTTACCATGGAGCCTCGTTTAGCTCGACAGCGTCTCGTTATGGTCATGAGAAGACGGGGCAATGATCTAATCGTTAAGAAAAGCAGCGCTGGTGTGTGATTACATTATATCTACTGGATTCAGTCTATGGTGCTTCTATCTAGAAGTTACGGCTGCTCACTGATGATCAGACATGTTGATGTTTCCAGCTGTGAAAACTATTACATATTTCCTGTTTTTGCTTTTTTACTTTTAATGTTTCAAATAAAAAATTCACATGAAACAAACGTAACCTGGAAAAGTAACTGACACTGTGAAGTAGGCTAAACCAGGACTAAAGCACGGCAGGCCTTAGTTAAGGTCACAGGTCAAGTAGGTGATGATGCGTTCACTGACAGATGAAATGACAGAATCAACATTTATCTTTAACACCGTCCTGATCTAAGCGCCGTGACCGGGAGAACGATGAGTCAGCTGAGTGGTTGTGTAAATAGCTAGTTACAGGAAATGAACAGACGTCACACACACACACACACACACACACACACACACACACACACACACACACACACACACACACACACACACACACACTCCTATACCCTAAGGATCTTTATTGACGTTACAAAGCACGCACACCAAGGAGTGAAACTGATACACCAAGCGTAACCGTGGCAACAAGCAGACAGAGATGGAGTACAGAGAGCAGCTGGATGTAAAGGAGGGATTACAGAAACTCAGAGAGCTCTCAAGGTCACATTGATCACACGTTTGCACACCTCATCACACGGCTTCAGCCTGAAACGACACCGTAGGCTGAGGAGGCAGACAGGAAGAGCTGGAGCAGGTTGACACATCCTTCAGGGTGATTGATGAGCGTGAGCATCAGAAGGCTGAGCTGTAAAATAATTTAAGTCATCACGCTAGATCAGTCTTTCTGCGGTGGAGCGCACCGGCGTCTGCCCACTGGGAGCTGGTAATAAGATAATAAATATAATAATATACATTCCCTTCTGACTGAGTGCTGCTGCAGCTCGTAGGGCTTGGTGTCATCCTGGACGTGATCATCCTGAGAGTTGTAGCTGAAAACAGCTGGACGTTGCTGGATATGTTGGAGACATTTAGCCTCTAATCCCAGAGAACCCTAACCCTTCCAGAAACAAACACACCGGTTGTGATTCGAGTCTTTTTCTTTCTTTCTTGAAAACGTGTTTTTGTCTAAATGAAGGAGATGTTGTTGTTCACAGCATTAAAACTAATGTTAAAGTTGAGATGGTTTCATCAAGTAAGACCGGTGGTTAGCCGGCTCATTTAAAGGTTGGGCCCTTGAACGAATCGATAGGGACTGGTGTCATGTTACATCCAACAGTGTTAAGGAAAGCGCTGCAGGTCCTTAATCAGACCTGGACGGGGTTTAGTCTGCCTTCCCCAGCAGCAGTTCCCTCTAACCTCCCCACAGCTTCTAGTCTCTTTGCTAAAAAACACCTCAAAAGAAGCCGACTGTTGGGCACACAACACTTTCCATAGTTCACGTGGGCGTTTTGGTTGAGAGAGGAACAAACCACAGTTGTGATGCAGACAGAATTATTTTTGATCTAGGCTAAATATTCAGTCTTAAAGCTGTCATGGAAAATTTGAATAAATAACGTAGCTTAAAACATTTTTGTGCCTCTTAACAACATTCTAACATGATCTTGCTGTAAAATATTGTGGAGATAAAAAGTGGTGGTCGTCTCGCATTTGTCTAAAAACCTCCACCAGTAGCATGTTTTGGACCAGAAGCAACAATTGACCCTCCGGTTGTCAGCCCCACCCGCAGCCGCACTTCCCCGGGTCCTCCACTCATCACACTCACATGTTTAGCAACAGAACACCACCGGTGTGAGAGGTTCTCCACTCAATAACATCAGAGAAGGAGAAACAGCCGGCTGCTACCACCTCAGCTTTGGAAAAACACCGGAGTTGTTTCGTCCGGCGTTTCTGGTTCCGACAGAAGCATCAAACTGAGAGGGCGGGTGAGCTTGTTCTCTAGATTCACTAAAGCAGCTTTAATTAACACGTTTAGATGTAGATTTCCACATTTAGGTGCACCGTTATACATTTGGACTAGACTGTCTTTATCTGAATTCAACTTTATTAGATTTAAACATTTATTTCCAATCTTCCAAAGTAAAAGGAGAGCCACATCCCACAGACCAAAACTTCCAAAGAGCTGCAGAAACCGTCAGAAAACTGTTGAGACTTTTCTTAAAGATCATTTCAGAACCCGTGCTTATTGGACACAAACTGTAAAGACTTTAGGGTTGTATTAAATCGTTTACATCATTTCCTGTCTTATTATGACTGTAAAAACACTTTCTTTAAGTTTTTGCACTGAATCCCTCTCACATAAAGCAGTTTCAGCCATTATATTCTGGACAGTTTCAGTACCGTTCAGATTGAGCTGTTTCAGGTTTCTGTCCCTTTAAGGAAACAAGCTGAAAGTGGCCACACCCACCCATCCCCCACTCAGGCTGCTATAGGGAGCTTAAGCCACGCCCACCTACTTCCTGACCACGGGTCCCCGGAAGAACGAACAAATGAATGCAAGTCAACGGGGCTAAAAACACTATTTTCTAATTCCGCTTGTTTTGTGCCATGGATTTCACGTATGATGTCCGTGAACTTTAAAGACACATTTTGATACTAAGAACGCGCTTATTTTCGAACGGGGGAAACGCATTTTTAGGTTATGTGTGAAAATAAGTCCAGGACTACAAATGCGCTTCACCAAAGTGTCGAACCAGACACGGAGAAAACTGAGAGGAAAGGGCTGTAAGTTCAGCAAACTTCCCACAGGAGGAAAGAACCACCATGAATCTGGTCATGTGGTGAGTAGCAGCTAGAAAGAGACAGGAAACGATCGAGTCAGATAAACCATTCCCTTCTATGCCTCAGCTAGTAAAAGTTAATCATTAGCAACTCCACAACAAGGCAACAACATGAGACGCGTTCAGGCTTATCGCCTTTTGGGAGATAACGCACCAACCTTCAAACTTTTTAACCCAGAAACATGCTTTACACAGTGTTGCCAACTTAGCGACTTTGTCACCTTTTCTAACGACTTTTCAGACCCCCTTAACCACTTTTTTTTTTTTTTCAAAAAAGTGCCTAGCGACAAATCTGGCCACATTTCTTACCCCCTCAGCTACTTTGACTACAACTTTGTAGCCGACTTTACCTGCAGATTAGAGATGCATCTGAAGCGACCGTCCTTCCTTCCAGAGGATCAGAGAGAAAATGATCTGCGCATGTGCTTGCAGCGTGATCACGCTGCCCCCACTGGCCAATCAAACCTTTTGTGGGTTTTCACAAGTCCATTATTTGAGATCGTCACCGGAGCTGCAGTGGGGCAAAAAAGTATTAAGTCAGCCACCGATTGTGCAAGTTCTCCCACTTAAAATGATGACAGAGGTCAGTAATTTACATCATAGGTACACTTCAACTGTGAGAGACAGAATGTGAAAAAAAAATCCATGAATTCACATGGCAGGATTTTTAAAGTATTTATTTGTAAATCAGGGTGGAAAATAAGTATTTGGTCACTTCAAACAAGGAAAATCTCTGGCTCTCACAGACCTGTAACGTCTTCTTTAAGAAGCTTTTCTGTCCTCCACTCGTTACCTGTATTAATGGCACCTGTTTGAACTCATTATCTGTATAAAAGACACCTGTCTACAGCCTCAAACAGTGAGACTCCAAACTCCACTATGGCAAAGACCGAAGAGCTTTCGAAGGACACCAGGAAAAGAATTGTAGACCTGCACCAGACTGGGAAGAGTGAATCTACAATTGGCAAGCAGCTTGGTGTGAAAAAATCAACTGTGGGAGCAATTATCAGAAAATGGAAGACATACAAGACCACTGATAATCTCCCTCGATCTGGGGCTCCACGCAAGATCTCATCCCGTGGGGTCAAAATGATCATGAGAACGGTGAGCAAGAATCCCAGAACCACACGGGGGGACCTGGTGAATGACCTGCAGAGAGCTGGGACCACAGTAACAAAGGTCACCATCAGTAACACACTACAACGGCAGGGAATCAGATCCTGCAGTGCCAGACGTGTTCCGCTGCTGAAGCCAGTGCATGTCCAGGCCCGTCTGAAGTTTGCCAGAGAGCACATGGATGATACAGCAGAGGATTGGGAGAATGTCATGTGGTCAGATGAAACCAAAGTAGAACTTTTTAGTATAAACTCAACTCGTCGTGTTTGGAGGAAGAAGAATACTGAGTTGCATCCCAAGAACACCATACCTACTGTGAAGCATGGGGGTGGGAACATCATGCTTTGGGGCTGTTTATCTGCTAAGGCGACAGGACGACTGATCCGTGTTAAGGACAGAATGAATGGGGCCATGTATCGTGAGATTCTGAGCCAAAACCTCCTTCCATCAGTGAGAGCTTTGAAGATGAAACGTGGCTGGGTCTTCCAACACGACAATGATCCCAAACACACCGCCCGGGCAACAAAGGACTGGCTCCGTAAGAAGCATTTGAAAGTCCTGGAGTGGCCTAGCCAGTCTCCAGACCTCAACCCCATAGAAAATCTGTGGAGGGAGTTGAAAGTCCGTGTTGCTCGGCGACAGCCCCAAAACATCACTGCTCTCGAGAAGATCTGCATGGAGGAATGGGCCAAAATACCAGCTGCTGTGTGTGCAAACCTGGTAAAGACCTATAGTAATCGTTTGACCTCTGTTATTGCCAACAAAGGTTATGTTACAAAGTATTGAGTTGAATTTTTGTTATTGACCAAATACTTATTTTCCACCCTGATTTACTAATAAATTCTTTAAAAATCCTGCCATGTGAATTCATGGATTTTTTTTCACATTCTGTCTCTCACAGTTGAAGTGTACCTATGATGAAAATTACTGACCTCTGTCATCATTTTAAGTGGGAGAACTTGCACAATCGGTGGCTGACTAAATACTTTTTGCCCCACTGTACATAAAGGGCGACCGCTCCTTCCGACATCCTGCCACATTTCAGCAGCTGAGCTCGGCTGGCTCTGGCAGGCAGCGTCGCACTCACACATGGCTTCTCGCACCACTTGTGGTGCATTCAAGGAACATTGGAACTCTATGATGAGTTCAATAACGTAGCACATTTAAAACTTTTATAAAAAACAGAATAATACTGTAAGACAAACACCTCAGGTCATTGGCAGTTTGCATGTAACGTTTCTGAATACTAAATACGACCTGCTTCTTTTTACACAAAAGTACTAAAAACAACAAAACCAAACAAAAACAAAACATATTTATATAATCTGTTAGGTCAGTATATAGCACTGAATCACAACAGAAGAAGACATCTCAAGGCACTTGAAAACTACAAGAGAAAATTCATTTGAATTCAATCATACATACATTCCTATCGATTTAATATTTTTGTGTTTACGAGTTCCATTCTCTTCAGACAAAATATAAATGCTCCTTCCAGTTTTATGTGCCATCTTTCCTTGATGTTTTAAAGGCTGCTGTTTTGTATTCTATGGGTTTTTTATTTTAATAAAATATTTAAAAAGAAATTAAATAACTTTAAATTAAATCGCGTGGGTTTTATTTGATTTACTCTACAAGACCGGAGATGTCATGAAGCAAACGTGGTGATGTCATGACGCAAACCAGATGACGTCATTGCATCGTATGCAAATTAGCACGTGACGTCATCTGGCGACTTTTGGGGGGAACTTCAGCTACTTTCAGTCAAAAGCAGTTGGCAACACTGGCTTTACAGCAGGGGTGAAAGTCTAATTCACACTGGGACGAAGTCGCGGGCCTAACTCAGTATTTATAGAAAAGTGACGCAAATGTGCACATCTTCCTTTATCTACAGATGTGTGTTGTTGAACCATTTCATGGAAACAAACTTATTTTTGCATAAACACTGAACATGGGATGACCAAATCACACACCAGCAAGTAACTTTTAGATAAAACATATCAGTCGTTACCACTGTCCCTGTTTTGTTTACTCTTTTAATTCCTCACATGTGTACATACTCGGCATTTAGTCATTTTTTTACCTGTTGAATGTTTAAAGTTTTTCTGTTTTCTTGTTGTTTGATCTTTATTCTGATCTTTTACTTCTGTAATGAGTGTCATCGCTGCTGGGACGCCAAAGTTTCCCCACTCAGGGACAATAAAGGGATTTTCTATTCTGTTCATCAGCCTGTAGCGTTTCCAGGTCCCTTTTTCGAGTAGGTTTCATTTTTTTACAGGCCAACAACAAAAACCAAAAATTCTCTCTTACATGAAAACATCTCATCTGTTAACTTTATTGCTTTGGAGCAGAACAAGTGCATGAATATAAAATAATCCAAGCTCAGTTTGCTCCACTCTGAGCCCTTATCCAGTAGATAGACCCTACCAGCTATTTTCAGCATATTACAAAAATCTGTTTTGAGCTTCGTCTGACAATAGGTCAGCAGATTTGAGTTTCTGGTCCGTCACTAATCTCTGATCTGTCCCCCCCCCCCCCCCCCCCCCCATCTTGTTCCTCGTCCACGGCCGTCTCTGGGGAGTAGAGCAAAGATGCCGGCATCAGGACTCTGGTCATGCTGGACGAGCAGGGAGGTAAGTCTGGAGTCAGAGGGATGATTTATGGCATCATGTCAGAACCAGGCTGGTAGAATATTTATGAGTGTAAGTGTTCATGTTGGATTTGAACCACAAAAGAAAGAAATTGTTCTGTTGATGTTTGAGAATGTATTCTTGTTTTCATTTCAATGCATTTTAACCAAACTTCTGTTAGATTTTCTTTTATTAACGATTTCAAAATGTTGTCTTTGATTTAAAGCGTGATTATCTCATTAGTAGAAATTACTTTGGAGAGGTTTTCCTTTCTTTAACCTTTCTTTACCTTGGCTAACCTTTTCTCCTTTTTTCTGCTTTTAATTTGTCACCAGCTGTTTTATTCTGTTTTTATATGTTTCTTTCATTTCCTTTTAGCCAAGGCAGACATCATAACCAGCATCAAAGTGCCAAAACACTAACAAATCCAGGGAAGATGATTTAAAGCCAGCCACTGCAGTAGCTGAATCCCCACAGCTCCATCCTGTAGCTGATGTGAACGTGACGCTGCAGCTGGTGGCAGTTCAGAGTAAAACTGTTCTCATACCAGTTTGTGGCGGCACTGTCCCTTAAAGACAACATATGTAATTATTTATGTATAAATAGAGTGTCATGGCTCCAGCCATCTTAAATGTGAAAGGGCGAGCCTGTTCTCAGCCTGTTGGGCTAAGCTTTACTGGTGGGCTGAATATTCAAACTGGTCGGAGAACAGTTCCTTCTGTTCAGATAAAAAGTGTAGGAATAAAAGAAGTGGACAAAAGAAACGATCGATTTAACTGGTAAAGACAAAATATCCAACCACTTGTCTCTCAACCCATGTACTGATTTGGACAATCCCTCGTTGATCGTAAAAATTAAATGGCATTACTTTGCAATTATAACAATAAGTTCATGAGCCTCCAAGTATTTCATTTAGCTGTAAGGTATACAGTCCATCTCACAAGTCCTTTGGGGTCAAAATACACATTCATCCAAGATGAAGTTCTACTCTCCAATCTGATTTTCACCTGCAAGATCTTGTTCCACAACTCTGAACCAGGAAATATTCCAGGATGTAGCTGTAAATAACTCTGAGTCTATTACAAACTCTGAGTCTATTACAAACTCTAAGTCTATTACATACTCTGAGTCTATTACAAACTCTGAGTCTGTTACAAACTGTAAGTCTATTACAAACTAAGTCTATTACAAACTGAGTCTATTACAAACTCTGAGTCTATTACAAACTCTAAGTCTATTACAAACTCTGAGTGTGTTACAGTCTGTAAGTCTATTACAAACTAAGTCTATTACAAACTATGAGTCCATTACAAACTCTGTCTATTACAAACTCTGTCTATTACAAACTCTGAGTCTGTTACAGTCTGTAAGTCTATTACAAACTAAGTCTATTACAAACTATGAGTCTATTACTAACTAAGTCTATTACAAACTATGAGTCTATTACAAACTATGAGTCTATTACAAACTCTGAGTCTGTTACAGTCTGTAAGTCTATTACAAACTAAGTCTATTACAAACTATGAGTCTATTACAAACTAAGTCTATTACAAACTATGAGTCTATTACAAACTCTGAGTCTATTACAAACTCTAAGTCTATTACAAACTCTGAATCTGTTACAGTCTGTAAGTCTATTACAAACTGTAAGTCTATTACAAACTAAGTCTATTACAAACTATGAGTCTATTACAAACTAAGTCTATTACAAACTAAGTCTATTACAAACTCTGAGTCTATTACAAACTCTGAGTCTATTACAAACTCTGAGTCTGTTACAGTCTGTAAGTCTATTACAAACTAAGTCTATTACAAACTATGAGTCTATTACAAACTAAGTCTATTACAAACTAAGTATATTACAAACTATGAGTCTATTACAAACTATGAGTCTATTACAAACTAAGTCTATTACAAACTATGAGTCTATTACAAACTAAGTCTATTACAAACTATGAGTCTATTGCAAACTCTAAGTCTATTACAAACTCTGAGTCTGTTACAGTCTGTAAGTCTATTACAAACTAAGTCTATTACAAACTATGAGTCTATTACAAACTAAATCTATTAAAAACTATGAGTCTATTACAAACTAAGTCTATTACAAACTATGAGTCTATTACAAACTAAGTCGATTACAAACTATGAGTCTATTACAAACTAAGTCTATTACAAACTATGAGTCTATTACAAACTAAGTCTATTACAAACTATGAGTCTATTACAAACTAAGTCTATTACAAACTATGAGTCTATTACAAACTCTGAGTCTGTTACAGTCTGTAAGTCTATTACAAACTAAGTCTATTAGAAACTATGAGTCTATTACAAACTAAGTCTATTACAAACTAAGTCTATTACAAACTATGAGTCTATTACAAACTATGAGTCTATTACAAACTAAGTCTATTACAAACTAAGTCTATTACAAACTATGAGTCTATTACAAACTAAGTCTATTACAAACTATGAGTCTATTACAAACCCTGAGTCTGTTATAGGGCTGGGCAATATAATCAACATGATAAGAATGTGTGGACACAAACTCACACCCAGCTACCTGGTAAAGGCTCGATATCCTATTATGGTTTTTATTATTTTACATCAACTGTTTCTTCCGTTTATCAAGAAGGTCTGTTTTAGACTGACATCCACATCCTGTTTAAATTTAGCAGCAGTTAAGCTCACATGGTAAACGTAAAATCTTGCCAACTAGGTCATGTTTGGCATTTTTTTCTTTTTCTGGTTGTATCAAACCTGTAGCATACCTTTTTACATCCGTTACCATGGTGATAGACTCAGAGACTCACTCACCCCTCTTTCTTTAACAGAAACCAGAACTTTCCAGTTTTCACGTACTCTGCTTTCTGGAATATTTCTCCAAACTCTATTCAGACTAAACTTTCTCTTATAAGCACTGAGTTAATACCTGGTCCCTAACAAGTCATGACTTGTTAGGGACCAGGAAAGCATGCCAACCAGGGATTTAACAAATCCTAAAGACTTAGTGAAGCTGTTTCTGAATCCACTCCATATTTAACCGTGCCACATCCTTTCACACTCTGCTTGCAGTTTATTTACTTCACTCACATGTAGAAGTTATAGAGGACCTGACAACATCTGCTACATCCGCATGACACAGACCCTGACTCATTCACCAGGAGCCGTTTGACAGCCAGGTCTTTGCAAAAGCAGCCCAGACAGGTCTTATGGAAGACGTGGTTTTTAATTGTTAAATTATTCAACACTTTTTCATTATTCTGCTAATGTGTGGTCATACAGGGGATTTGTGAGCTCTCAGTATCAAATGTGTGTGGTCTCAGGTTGGAGATTCAGAGAGAAAGAAAAAGATCAGGGGCCTCATTTATCAAGCTAGCTTACACACAAAATGGGGTCGGAAAACTGCGTAGGCAACTTCCACGCAAACTTTGGGATTTATGAAAGAAAACTTAGCGGGAAAATGTGCACAACTTTAAGTTGCCTAAGGACCTGGCTTATGCACATGCTGGACATGGAGAGCACCTGCAGTGCTGCTGCTGAGAAGATACAGTTATGAAATCCTGCAGCATTATCACTTGTACTGCTTCGTTTTCACACAGAACAAGACCCCCCCCCCCCACACACACACACACACACACACACACGAACACTCACACACGCACGTACGCGCACACACACACACAGCCTGAAGCGCAGAATGCAGAACATCAGCAGGGGGACAGAGTGAGACAGAACATCATGCGTCTGTGACAGTGTGTGTCCTGTCACTGTGACTCGATTGATCATGCGCCCTGGCTACTTGTACAAGGGAGATCTCCGTTTGGGTGACTGGTTAGCACATGTGACTTTCACCCAGGAGTCTGGAGATTGAATCCCGATTGGACCATTTTTTATATCCGCCACAGATCTCTCTGAAGAACTCAGCATTGACGGCTTCAGCAACGCTGTGCCACTCCGTGGATTTTCCCTTACTGTTTTGCAAAAGCACTTCCTTTCATTTCTCCACCTCACCCACAAGTACCTCAATTTCTGCTTCTGTGAAATTGTGCTTCCTTGATCTGCAGTCGTGATCGAAATGCTGCAACAAGCCGGCTTATGTATATGCATGAGGTCCACAAGGCACTTTTCATTGACCATTTATGGCAGTAAGTGGGCGTGGTGAGGGCGGGATATGACTAAAAAGCAGCTGAGAACCATTCTAGATAGTTTCTGATTTATGAAGCGGAGATTGCATGCAGCTGTGTGTACTCCATGTTTGATAAAACCTACTTGGTGTAAGTACTTTTTGTTTGCTGAGCTTAAGCACGGTGTTATTAAGGATTCTACGCCATGTTTGATAAATGAGACCCCTGGGGCCTCATTTATCAAACTTTCTGTAAATTCCTCTCTCAACCCTACTTAAGCTCAGCAAATGATTAATTGTTACCCAAACTAATCTGCCATAAATGAACAAAGCAATCAATCAGTCAATCAATCAAAGCTTTATTTATAAAGCGCCTTCCGCAACCCTGTCAGGAAGCCCAAAGCGCTGGATGCAAACTACAGTACGAATGTTGTGCATAAAAATAAACCTGCTCATTGACGGCATGTCACAGGTAACCATGACAGCCATGATGTGTGTGCGCACACGTGTGTGTGTGTGTGTGTGTGTGTGTGTGTGTGTGTGTGTGTGTGTGTGTGTGTGTGTGTGTGTGTGTGTGTGTGCGTATTTGAAAACGTATCCTAAGTTAGATTTTAACATCTCACCAGCTCCAGTGTGCTCATGCCAGGTCTAAAGTTTGCTTAAAGTTGTGCACATTTTTCCATCAAGTTTTCTTTATAAATCACAATCTTTGTGTAGAAAGTTACTTACTCTGTTTTCAGATCCAGTTTTGTGCGTAAGCAAGCTTTAAGTGAGGCCTCTTATAAACGATAAACGATGAATCGGATGGGGTCTCGACTCGACTGATCAGATTAAACGGGAACATTTAAAAACTGCTAAACAGTTCAATAGCTAATGCTAATAACATTTAATTTCTACTGCTAAAAACGTAATGGCGACGTATCTATTATGTACGGGTTAGCAATAATCCAGCTTAAATTAGACACTGTGATGGAATTTTTATATTGCAATATTGAAATTAAACCCTTTTGACTTAATCATGGACTGTTTCATTATTTTATTAAGTCTCCAAAAGAAATTTCACAACAGGTTTGTGAATTACATGCTACTGTGGCTTCCCAAAAACCCTGCAGCGGAGTTGAGCAGAGCAGACTCGAACCAGCAACCTGACTGCAGCGGTTCTGCTCCACAGCGCTGCAGACAGCTAAGAATAACAGGATGGTGGGGACTTTTCTTCTGCTTGTACAGTTTAGATAACATTAGTTTCACGACCATCGTGTTTTCAGATCCCCACTTGATCACGGCCCTGCTACCGGCTAGCATCAGCTTATCTGCTCGTAGTTACACTTTTGATCCCAAACCGTTTCTGCTTTTGTGTCTTTGCTGGTTTCTCTGTTTGCCTCCACACCACTGAGATTGGCACATTGTGCGCCAGTAAAAAGCATCTTCCTTACACAATAACAAGCAACTTACCTTTGTTCAATAAAGTTCTGGGGAAAAAGTCACTTTAAAAGATGTCGCACGAGTGCTGCGTCTAAAAATATTTTATCGCACAGAGTTCTTTTCATCGCCGCCTACAGATGAGCTGCGAGCATTCACTGGTAAATAAAGGTTGCACGACACAAAAAAGTAGCGCAGCACAACAAATCGATGATCAAATATTTCATCGGTTTTTATCAATTTTTAGCGATTTTATCGATTCGTTGCTGCAGCCCCATCCAGTTCATCCTGGAAGTTTACATGAGTACTCCAGCGGTCTCCGTTGTTGTTTTCTTCTCATCCAACAAACAAAACCACACAGAAAAAGAATGTTTGCAGTAGCTCTGGCTTGAGTTGCTCTATGGTTAGCACTACTATGACTAAGAATTAGATACTGCTGCCATTGACGTTGGTAGGGATTTACAAATTTTAGGGGACGTGTCTGCGCCTGCTACCTGTTATACCAGCTTTTGACAGAATGAAATGTTTTCTCTTGATGGCACAGACATTTGGTATATTTTTCACTCCAAACTGCCTACATTCAACAACAACAAGGTATAGAGGGCTTTGAATTCTAGGACCCCTTTAACACAGACATTGTTGAGGAGAAGTAGTTAAACTAGCCTTGTGCAAAAGTAGTTCTTTCTCCAGCTGTGAGTTTAGAAATCCAGAGTGTAAATTGCTTTAGATTGAAAAAATGACATTAAATGAATTTGCATGCACAAGTAGATCTAGGTCGATGAAAGGTAGAATAAGTAGAAGGCTACATCCTGGTTTACATGGACGTTAGAAAACTGGACTTTCAAATGAAGTGTGTTTCCACTCTGCTACAATAGGAGGTGACCCGCGCCCTTTTGTGTTGGTATTCTTCCGGTTAGCCTATAGCAACACAAGTTGTAAACAAACGTTGGCAGGAGTGAAGCAGACAGAGTTTGATGGCGTTACTTTGTGGCAATGACATTATAAAAAGACCGCTTCTGCAGTCTTGTTACTTCCAGGAGTCACCAGTACCAGCTCAACTGAGCTGTTTACATGCAGAGGAAGTCGTGTTCCCCCTAACCCATTATCTGGTTGTTTTATCTGGATTAGAACCAGTTTGCCCATAGCCAGACTAATGGGATTATATGCATTTTTAAAAATGTTGTCCGCCTATTTAAGGCAATAGTTTGGTTTTCTGGTGTGCATGTAGACACACTGATTGGTAGGAATCGTGGTTATTCTTATTCCCTCAATGAAAGTTCTCTCAGATTCATCACTCTGAGATCACTGAGATGTTCTGCACATAAGATACTGACTGGTCATATTTACTCCACCCCCCCCCCCCCCCCCCCCCAAAAAAAAAAACATCAGTTGTTATGAGATGCAAGTTCTTAATTGTTTACTGAACACAGTATGTAGGAAGACCTGGTACAGTCATGGAGCACAGATCTGAAGTTATTTTGGTTAGTTTAGGATTTTGTTTTTGCACAATAATTTGCACGATAATTCAAATTCTGATTAGACACACACAAACTTGTATAAATAAATTAAATACCATTAAAAGAGTACCACTAAACCTGGTGTTCCTAATGTGAACATACTGTAGTTAGCTTAGCTTAGATAGCGGGATGCAGGCTCAATCCAAGAGGTTTAACTAATCTAAACCACTTAAGTTCAGCAAAAATAAAAATGTGCTAAAAGACAAGAACAAAACATTTCTATTTAGAGTGGAAGGCGGACATTTTTCATTTGGACAGAATTATCTTGCTGTTTGTCCGTTTTCCTAGCTAATAAAATAAGCCAACAGTGATGGTATTTATGACAAATATAGTTCTTTAAAAACACTTCATTGCTTCTCTGTTAATATTATGAATAATAACTTTATTACCCATTGCAGGCAGTTTCCTGGATGGCCTTTTATGAAGTCATAAAATTAACATTTGCAAGAACTAATAAGCTAACAGGCAACCAGCTAAGACAAAAGTAGAGTATAACTTGTCCACCATAGTTCATAAAGTTATTATGCATTATTAAACAATTGTCAAGTTTACATTTCATGGTGATCAACACTAAATTCTGCATTTATGAGAGTAAATAACATCTGCAGTAGCTAAGTGTAGCTCTAAAGTAGCCCTGAAGGGTTAACCACATGAAGCAGCAATTCCAGTCACTATTTTTACAGAATTCATATTTAAAATAATGTGTTGTAAATTATCCTTTGTTCTTAATAGTTTGTATCACCAAAACTGACTCACTTTTACACGCTGTCGTCAATACTCCAGACATAAACATACAGACATACATCTTTGCTGCTCATCATTTCTCATTTTTCTGTCAATTAGTCAATGAAATTCATTCCACTACTGTCATCCCTTTGTCCTGACCAGAGCAACTCGATCGTGTTGAAGAAGGCATGAACCATATCAACCAAGACATGAAGGAAGCCGAGAAAAATTTAAAAGATTTAGGGAAATGCTGTGGGCTTTTCATATGTCCATGTAACAAGTAGGTACTGACAATGTGCCCCAAAGGTTCTTTACATATGTGGTGGCGTCCAGTTTTCCTCTTTAGTTTTATTTTGTTTTACTTTCTTTTGTCACAGTGAGTGTCTGAAGTTGTTGTCTTCTCTCCTTTGTCTGCTCTTTATCTCTTTCTCTCCTCTTCTTCCTCTCTCTCTTTGTGCTTCGTTCTGTGGGGGATAAATGACTTGTGTTAAATCAGAGCAACTGGAGCGCATCGAGGAGGGAATGGACCAAATCAATAAGGACATGAAGGATGCAGAAAAGAATTTGAACGATCTAGGGAAATTCTGTGGTCTTTGCTCCTGTCCATGTAACAAGTAGGTGCTGCTTGCCTGCCTGCCTGCCTGCTATTCAAAAATGCGACTAAATATCTGAGAAATCAAAAGCAGCCAAGGAAGAAGTGGCATCACGGTGACCATTGGCCAACAGTCGGCTCTGCTCAGCTCTGAATGCAAACTATATCTGTGGGCCTTTTTCAGTGAGCACATGTGGATGAAATCATTGTAAACTTCATTCCCAGCACATATTTCAGTGTTTGTTTCTGGGGATATTGTCTTAGCAGTCCTCACCCAAAGAGAAGCCCACTTAACGGAAGCTCTGATGTAAATCTATTCAGTCATTCAGGCTGTTGCTTCAAGGACAGCGGTTCTTTTCAAGTCCCATCTAGAACGTTCTGAGAGTTCTGTTAAAACCCATCCAGCTGTTCATAAGGCATTAGGCTGACAGATACACCAGAGAGATCGCTGATGGTAAATGTCTGACTCCAGGGCAACGTTTCAATCTAAAATATCACAAGTGCCTCTGAGCTACTAACACACAAAACCTGTTAGTGTCAGGGCTGATTAGCTGCTGCAGCCATCTTTAGTTTGGTTAAATGCCAACGCTTAGGCACTAGTAGATGTCTTTCTAATGAAGAATATAAGATTTTCATTCAGATCAGGTTAGATGGTTCGTCAGATATTTTACTACTGAGCAGACAGATAAAAGTGACCGTCTCACCCCCTTAGCCTTTTGGAGGATGCTGGTTCAAAGCTTCTCTGTCACTGAGGGTTTTCCACGTCTCATAACCAGCTTTCACTAAGCATTGCAGGTTGATATAACATCCATCACTAGTACTATTGAGTCGTCATGGACTCTGTGTGTACTTTGCACACCTAAATCATGCTGAGTAAAGTCATTACGCTTTCATTACGATTCTTTCCTCATGAACAATCTGGATGGTTTTTAAAGTAAAACTCAAAGAAAAAAACACAAATTAAGATATATAATACAGATTTTTTTTACCCTCCCACTGTCCTAACGGGTGTGACCCCGCAAGGAAAGTTGACCTTTGAGCAGGATTGATGGTTTATCCCTTGGGTCCATGCTGCAGGGGTGAGGTGGTGCTCACTCCTCACCCCTGCCAAGAGATAAACCATCAATCCTGCTCAAAGGTCAACTTTCCTTGCGGGGTCACACCCGTTAGGACAGTGGGAGGGTTAAACATAACAAACAGGTTTTTTTATTTTCTATTAAACTTTATTACAAGTTTAACTTAAGAACACGACAGAGGTTTCTGCAGGCACATGCAGCGGCTTTGGGCTCTTCTGGTATGTTGGCCTCTAAACACACTGCCCTCATCAGCTTACAGCTGCACCACCAGTGTTGGCCATTCCTGCAACTCTGGCCACAAATAATCCGAAGCACAATGTGACGATTTTATCACCAACATCTAGATGGATAAAACTGGTGATTTGAGGCCAGCTAGGCCATGGTTCAGCCAGAAGTGCCTCAAACACGACTCTCCTAAAAGTACACATCCCACACATATAGCATCTCTGCTGATTCCTTCTGAGCAAGACTGTTTTATGTTTTTAGCAACTAAAGAAGAAAGGCCTAAACAGTGATCTATCACTGTAGCGTTTGGTTTTGCCAACTTTTAAACCAATTAAATTTAACCGAAGACGAGCAGGGCTGAGCCTCCCAAAGCATCTTGGCACTGAGATTTTTTCCATGAATCAGTTCCAAAATGGAAATGAATGAGATCTCAGTTCTAAAATGGCTTTTAGGCAGTCTGGTCCAGGACTGTTTGACACTTCTCCTCATCTGCATGATCTCTACCACCACTGCACTGCTCTAACATCCAGTAGATCCTCACCTTTCTGCAGGCAACAAGACCTTTATGTTCCCCTAAACACCACCCAACCCCTGCCACCATTTCTAAAACACTGGGTGCCAATGACCATGAATGACTGGCGAGCATGACCCTTCGAATGCTCATGCATGCTTGATAATGCAAGTTCTAACAGCAATGCTACATTCAGTAAGGCTATGAGGAAACTGATGCTAACAATGAAGGTGATGCTGATTGTCTAACTGGAGGAATCTTTGTTTTTACTTACATCATGGTTGCAGTCAACATGCTGAAAATAATGAGGCACTGAACAGCAGAAAGCCTCTAAATCCTTTTATTAACTTAAGCCAGAATCTCGTGGGTCTGTGACTTGGCTAACTTATGAACACAAACACCAGCAGTCTCTTAATAAGGTCACAGGGTCACTCTGGAGCTCCCCTCAGTTTAGTTTCTGAGTCCCAAATGTAAAACAACTCTTAGAGGGGTTGGAGACTAGATTTCAAATATCGTGGGTAATTTACTAATAAAAAAAAAAGAATGTAAGGCATATTTTTCTCTGTTAAATAAGATGAACATACTTTAAATACATTAGTCCTGTTGGGGTTATAGGTCAACAAATAATTTGTAAGCTTTTACTTACTTTTTGGATTCTTCAATAAATTCGTAAATATGGAAATATTTACTGATTTATTAATTAATTAGGATATCCGGAGATATCTACGGGGCACCATCCCCTTCTAACTGGGGAAAAATTGAATCTAAACTCTTATCAGTCTCGACTAAATGTTCCGTGAATCCTAACGAGCTGCTGTTGAATTTTATATCACAAACAAATCCACTTGAAGACAAAACTTAATTGAATAACATTTATTAACTAATATCACTTCACTTCAGCTCCTTCTGAAGTGTTCAGCCAACAATATTAACCAACGTATTTTATCAAATGACTAACAGGTGAATTAACAATGAAATAATGATGTAAAACAATCTGACCCAATAAGTGTGTCTTTAGCTTGAGTCCCCCCCCCAAAGGCTAAAAACAAGTATGTGTGTGTGTCCCCCTAAACAGGGAAAACCAGAATGTGTGTGTGCGTGAGTGCGTGCGTGCGCGCGCGCGCGTGCGTGTGTGTGTGTGTGTGTGTGTGTGTGTGTGTGTGTGTGTGTGTGTGTGTGTGTGTGTGTGTGTGTGTGTGTGTGTGTGTGTGTGTGTGTGTGTGTGTGTGGAGCAGTGAGGTGATGCTGAAAGAAGGTGTGAATGTGTAAGCTGAGATCAGATTTCAGCCTGTATGGGTGTGTGTGAAGCTTCCTCCACTTTCAATCAGTGATGTGGCACGTTTCATGCATAGTAACTTAAACACTTCAAATGCTAATTTTCTTCACAAGGCTCAAGAAAAACAACTCAATCAAAGGGCAAATGAAAATATCTAACAGAGTCGGTCAGCCTGGCCACAGCTGACAGACAACAACCCAGATATTAACAATAAATAAATGGAGCTTACTCTTTAAGATGCTCGGATGGCGTATTTTGGTACGACAGAGAAACCGAAGCTACTTTAAAACGATCCGTGGTTTGATAGCTTATTTTGGTCTAGAAGAAGTCGGAAGATAAAGAGATAAGAAAAAAAACTTGCAGGAGCAAAACTTCTCTGACCGAAGCCAAGGCGTCCCTTGTAGTTCGCTGATCAGATGTGATTTTACGCTGCTCCTCCGCAGTTCGGCGTCGTCCACTTCGGCAGCCAGGCCTCGCACGCTGTTCGGTGGGCAAACGAGTGTCTCTTCACACCAGCTGGAGCTGGACACAAAGAGAGCGAAGTTTCGCTTTGTGCTGAGTTTTATAACTTACAGCGTCTCTGTGTGGTTCGTGCTGATTTGATGGTTTTCCGTTGCTTTCCAGCCAGGCCTCGTCTGAGTCCGGAGCCGTAGCAGTAAACGTGTCCTTCTCCGCCAGTTGACTGAACAAAAGAACAAAGAACGATTTCGTTTCGCTATAATTTATAGCTTTAGCGGCTGGCGGGGAAAATGTGTGACTCCCGCACATGCGCAGAACTCGTGCTCTCGGTATTCGGCGGTGATGTCATCACATTGCTTCTGGCTCAAGGAATCATGGGAAATGAAGTTGTAGCTGGCGCTGATGTGTAAATATGCTCTTCAGAGCAATTTTGGCAGTCGTTTGGATAAAATTACTGCATAGTGATTTCCTCATGAGGGCAGACCCTCAACATTCCCCCTTTTGGTTTCGGGGATCGCGCCAGAGCTCGATCGTCGGAAGCACAGATGGGTTCGTCCCTCATGACGTTGGTCGACTTGGTCGTCGGTCGACTTGATTGTCGGAAGCACGTATGGGTTTGTCCCTTAGGAACGTTGGTCTCCTTGGACGCCTTTGGTCTTTGTCTTTGGTCTTTGTCTTGGATCCTGGTCAGGCACAAAAACAAAAGGGGATAGGAAACGGGATAGTCCCCACGCGCATAACGAGGAGGAGCCACCCACGCAGGTGGTACGCAATGATGTATCAAATAGAGAACCCGGATGGTAAAGTACCAATCCAGGCCTCATTGGCGAAGTTAGTTCTTCTCCTCCATCAGAGAGAAATTCACCGTGATCAGAAGATCATGGAACTCCAGAGTATGCTAGCTGAAAAACAGCGAAATGGAAGGCTGAAGGATGACGAGGAGGACGACGACGCCCGCACCGATTCTGGGGAAGATGGGGAGGAGACACACCCCCCCCCCCCCCAAACCCCCCACTGATGAGAACACACAGTGGGAAGGAGGGGTACACCACGACTCTGAAGTTGAGTCAGAGTTCTCCCCCACGCCGGTACGAAAGCAAACCGGCAGAGCCGACTGGGGTCCACCCAGGACGATCGGCAA